CCCCAAAACCCCAAAACCCCAAAACCCCTCAAAAATAAAAAAAATTGGAATAAATGCACAGGAAAAGTTTTTCTACAAGCTCGAGCAGGGCGGCAGGCATTAACACAGATACTCTGTCTCAGATTGATACCTGTGGCAAAGGTGGATGGTTTATGAGGGTTTCCAAACGCCAGTATCCTTCTTTAAGGCATGGGGAGAACTCCGGTATTTTATCTTCTCAACTACTAGATTCTACCATTAGAACACCTTCGACATTACAGCATCCTCAGCCAACAGAGATGGCTTTTGAGATTGACAAATACAACTCTCTTGGAACTTTGAGGAGTTCCTTAGTCAAGCAATTTAAGAAGAGTAAAAGCAAGCCTCTGAAGAATAAAAACCAGAAGGTTAAACCCTTGCTTTTGATAACAAAACCAGAGTCAGTCGAGAAGTCCAAAATCTATAATTTTCGCTCAAGTAGTGCTCAGAGAAGATCTATGCTTTCCAAGCTGAAGGAGGTAAGGGAGTTCTCCAAAATTTATTAGGATTTTCAAAATCACACAATTTAATATTTTCTATAGATTAAATCAATGCCTCCACAGACTTCTAGAACTAAGCCCATGCGCATGAAGAGCAAGAAATAAAAGTCCCACAAATGACCTGATCAGTAAGGACTCTATGTTATGAATTTTAGGTATCTCTCCGTCTGAAGTGAAATCTTCCACTTTCTATGCCCAAAGATTATCAATGCAGAAACCCCCAGCGAGCTATTTAGACTCACAGAGACCAAATATGGCTCCACATTTATTCTTCCGTGACTTGCATAAGAGCAGTAGGGTTCAGGAACTTTTTAACGAGTTCCAAGAGAAAGACAAGAAATATAAAGTCTGATCTCATATTTTGTTCAACGGAAATATAAAGCCCCTTTCCGAGCATGAGCACAGGTACAAAGACTGTATTGTCAACAGACCAAGGGATTATAGAGACAGCACTGCAAATTATATGGGTGATAACATCAACACCTGCATTCGGTCCTTCCTCAGGAACCACAGAGATGAGGCTGACAAAGGTATTTTTGATGACCTGAGACCAAGGGAGACATACAATATGAACTAACCCTAGCCACTTTGGATAAACTTTCAATACAGGTCTTATAATTTGGGGTTTTGGGGTTTTGGGGTTTTGGGGTTTTGGGG